GGTTTGTCCCATTGTTTCTTTCATCTCTCAGTATCTAACTTTATTTTTCAGCAGACCTAGTTTGTTTGTAAAGGCAAATCCCTCTCACTCCTTTCATCAATTAGTGGAATCCTTTCCTTTGTTTCTTTTATTTCTCAGTATCTAGCTTTATTTACCAGCAGACTCACAGTTTGTGAAGACAAGACTCATTCATTTCATGAGGGTCATGGAATCCCAGTTGGTGTGTTATTGTCAACAGTGCACTGTTGTGGTAGCAATTGGTATCTGTTCTTTTTTGGCCTTCAGCAATTCCACAGCTGAAGTGTCCTCTGAGGCGCCAGGCAAGGTATTCATCTGTTTAATTCCCTGTGTCTCCACAGCTGCTATCCCAAAAGCCCAACAATGGGTCCTTGAAATACCCTCTCCTGAGGTAATCTATGCCAAGGATGCACGGGGCCTCTGGACCAGTCACAATGGGGTGTTTTTGCCATTTGTTCCCAGTCAGACTCACTACAGCTTCCAGTACAGTCAGGTGTTGTGATCCCCCTGGCACCCCAGAAATAGAGGTAGATTCTGCCCCTAGGTATCTTGATGGCATCAGGGTACATTGTGTGCTGGTGTAAATTAAAGCCTTATATTCTTGTGGGTCTAATGTACCAGGCCATTGGATCCACACAGTTCAATAGATCCGATTGCCCCTTTCCTCCACCTAGCTGAAATCAAGGCCCCTCACAGTTCATATGAACTGGAAGTTCCTTCAAGAAGATTGGAAGTAACATCAGCCCTTTTATTTGTAGCAGGGCATCTTGCCATCCCACAAGAGCTTATTGATTGCTTGTTCACTGGTGAAATAACTCAAACAGGACAAGCTGTCTTGTAGTAATTTATTTTGGTGCCATGGAATTAACACTCTCAGCTGACAATAAACATCTTGCTGTGGAAGTGAGATGTGGGAAAATAAGCTGTATTTCTGACTGACAGACACCTCACTTTATAAAAGCCACACCAATCTTTCATGAAGCAGACATCTTCTCCACATTCCCTGGAAATGTGTGGAGTTTCTCCCCAAAGCAGGGACCAGGGATGCCTGCTCTGTGGTTACTCCACTGAAGGTGGAACAAAAGGACTCTGTGTACACTATCGTAATTTCAGTGGTAAGTTACATTTGACTCCTAATTAATACTATTTCTTTTTGTAGCTTTACAATAGGTATCTTGATGCCGTGCACTGTTTTATGTAATCTACTAGTAGCTCTTTTAGTTTTATGCTGTGTAGTAACTGATTAAGACCTTTTGTCTGTTATCTCCCATCTGCTCAATAAATAACTCATAAATAGACCTGATCTGCCATCCTTAGAACTTGCGGGCCAGAGTGATTTCTTAAATTTAAGCTGTTGCCAAAAATCTGAGGCTAAGGCAGTTATTGTTCTTCCTCTCAACTCATGTATTTGTGATGCCAGGCCAGAGGTGGGTTTTCCACCTGACTTCTTCATGTCCTCTCTGTGGTTATGCAGACAAAAGCACTGGTAACCTTGTGGTGTCTTCTCTCTTGAGCGGGGTAGCACTGTGAGAGATTAGAAAGATTAATGTCTTGAGAAATTTTGGGGTGCATGTATGTGAGGGAAGGGGCAGGTTAGGCATTGCTGTGGTGAGGCAGTGCACTGCCCTACACCCCTGTATTGGTTTTGCATAGCCTAGTTATTGGCAGCAGGGGGCCAGAAAGATGGCTTCTGTGAGAAGCTGCTGAAAGCTTCCCACCATGTCTGGCAGAACCAATGGCTGATGGCTCTGAAGATGGACATGCTGCTGGACAAAACTGGGCCAATGAGGGAGGTTGGTAACACCTCTGTGATGACATATTTAAGAAGAAAATTAAAACAAGGTCACACATTTTTGCTCTTAGAGAGGAGGAAGAGGTGAGAACATATGAGGGAAAACAACATGAAGACACCAAGGTCAGTGGAGAAGTAGGGGGAGGAGGTGCTCCAGATGCCAGAGCTGAGATTCTTCTGCAGGCCATGGTGAAGACCATGGTGAAGCAGGCTGTCCCCCTGCAGCCCATGGGTCCAGGGGGCATGCAGAGAGATCCACCCACAGCCCACTGGAGAGGTTCCCAAGCTGGAGCAGGTGGATGCTTGGAGGAGGCTGTGATCCACTGGAAGACTCGGTGGAGAGAAGGAGCCCCTGCTTCTAGGCTGGAGCAGCCTGTCCTTGGAGGACTGCACCCCGTGAAAGAGACTCACATCACAGCAGTTTTGGAAGGGCTGTTTGCCCGTAGGGGGAGTTCACATTGCAGCAGGTTTGGTGTGGCTGCTGCTCATGAGAGTGGACCCACACTGGAGAAGTTCACAGAGACCTGTCTCCTGTGGGAAGGACCTCACGACCTCACAGGGGAAGGACTGCTCTCCCAAAACAGCAGAAGAAAATCTTGGTGATGAACTAACCAAAACCCCCATGCCCTATCTCCCTGTGCTGTTGGTGGGAAGGGGGGAGGGGCTGGGGGGGAAACGGTGTTATAAGGGCTTATTTGACTTCTCATTATCCTCCTCTGACTCTGTTAGTAATAAATTTACTTTGCAATTTAAGTTGAGCCTGTTTTGCCCTTGAAATAGTTCTCCTGGTCCTTATCTCACTCATGAAGCCTTTGGTTTTTTTGGGTTTTTTTTTTCCTTTTTCCCTCCTCTGCCCAGCTGTAGCAGGGGAGGGTGAGCAAGAGACTCTCATGTGTGCCTGGTGTTGGGCCAGTGTCAAACCACAACAATCCCCCACTCCTAGAGCCTGTATCCCAGCTTCACAGTGACTGCCAATGACTGGCATCCTGGAGACAATGCTCCACACCTGCCCCTGGAGCCCTTAACCCAGCTCCTGAGTGGCCAAATGACAGGCAATCCCTCCTGGGGGAAGGGCCCAGGAAGGCCAAAGGGTATTTAAAGCTGAACATGAGGCAAGTATATGTCTTGACCCTACCTCTTCTTGGAATTTCTCTCAGCTGAACCACTGGAACCCAGGAGTTGGTAGCTATATGTGTCCTCTTCTATATATTTCTCTCTTTTTTCTTCCAATTTTCTCTTCTCAGAATTTTTGAGTAACTTAGAATTGAATGAGCTTAGAATTTGCTAAGTTAAAGCTTTGAGAAGTATTTTATGTTGATTGAATATTGCACTAAGCCTTTTGCCCAAGTTGTCTGATTTTCTAAAGTTGCCAGTAGTTTTTTTTTTTTTTTTTTTGTTGCTTTGGCCTCTTGAGACTATCTTGTTGGTATTACTCCTGTACATCTAACTCAGAGTACATGAACAACTTGCAAGCCTTTTAAAAAGCTTTGTTGAATGAAGTTTTTTTTGGGCCTTACAGGTATTTACTCCCAATAGCAGAGACTCTGGTCCATACTGGTGGGGCATGGGACATTTCCTCCTTAAATTTCTGGTCGCTCTCTTTAGATTTATGCTGGTCCTCTTTAATTTCCTCTTTTAATTGCTGGAAGTCCTTGGACAGTCTTTCCACAGATGAGATGCAGTCCTGTATTGGGGTGGAGATAGTTTCTTCATATAGCTGGAATCTGCTAAGAAAAGTGTCCACTTTTTGTTCTCCTTCTTTCCATGACATCACTCTCATTGAGTTGACATATGACACTGGCATGCTCTGTAGGAATTTCCACCACATGGTTTGTGTATGATGTCATCCATATTTATATAGCATTGCTCGTTATTTGAATCCCTACAGATTATTTCCAGCACAGCTAATTCTGAGGTACTCAATACTTTTCTCCATGGTGTTCCCCTTGTCTTGGTGCACTGATAGATCAACCTTGCAAAAATACCTTTCTCTCATGCTTGATAGGAATCACCTCCAGAGGCTGAGTGTTTCTGTCCTTTTCCCAATCCCCTTGTCAATGCCCACGTCCCAGGACAGGTACCCAAGTTGCTTGGTTTCATTACCATCCAGTTCCAATAGTGTGGGCTGCAATATACCAGCATTGGAGCAGCCAGGTCACCAGGGGCTCACCTGACTGGTGGCAGAAATATTTTCGCATATCTCACAGCTTACCTGGGAACAGGGATCAGGTGATTATCTCTGGCTCTGTCTCTTCCATTAGTTGTGAGGGCCCTGTTTCTTCTTCATCCCTCACTAAGCAAACTGATTTGGTCTTGGATTTTTTTCTTCTGTATAGTGGTGACTGCTACTGGCACAGGTTATTTCTCTGGTTCAGCTGCAGAGTTTGAGTGCCTGTTGTTCTGTTTTTCTCCTCCTCCTTCCCCTGAGGGTGCCGTCTAGTATTGAGCAGTGTCTGATAAACAGTAGCCAGGGCCCAGCATGTTGCATAACTTTGTGCCTCTCTGGAACTGCCATAGCATACCATGGCCCTGGGTGGGTGGAAGGGTCCAGCTAGCACAACCCGCGTGAGGCTGCGTGGCCGCCACGTGAGTGGGCATCTCAGGGGAGAATCGTCTGCCCCCTGATGGTGCTGAGTGCTACTTGTGGGTGCGCAGCTTGAGTAACTGCACGCTGAGAGGAGATGAAGAGATGAGAGAAGGACACTTGTATGCCAGCCCAAAGAGTCCTTTATTTCCCCAGGTGGGGCCAGAAAGGTGCCCTCTGAGTAGGTGCAGTGACAAATGACGAAGAAATCAATGATTACAGCAACTTAAATAGGGGGTGGGCGGACAGGGGTGTAAACCTGTCTTGCCCAATGGGGATAAACCAGTGAGGGATACAAGAACCTATGATAATGTGGCAGGGGTAGGTACAAAGTCAGGGGACAAATAGAAAAGCTAAGCTGGAGTGATTGATACAAAACATTCTGGGAGAAACTGGGGGTGGTTACAGGACTGACAGCCGAAGGGGTATAATAAACAAACTTGGACTGATGGAACCAGGAGAGGTAAGAAGATTGACATATAACTGGGGAGCCAAGTGGTGGAAACTTTTGGGGTAAGGGGACACATGGGGGAGCATAAGGCTAACAAACATTGATAAAACCAACTGACTAAATCAACCCACACCACAACAATAGCATTTTTAAAATCAAATATTCTGCCACTTTATCAGGGTCCTGTAGTTTTTCAGGGGTAAACTTCCAAACCACTGGAGCAGAATACTCCATCAAAAGCTGGTCCATTTTCTCCCACATTCTATGCCACTCATGACTATCCATCCCCTGGGACAGGTCTCGGGACAACTTCCCTAGAAATCTCTGTCCTGACTCTAAACATGGTGTGGACTACATTGAGGAGACCTGGCAGACTTAGCAACAAGAACATGCTTTCCTCAACATCCAAAGGGAATTCAAAATCCTCAAAAGCTGTTGTAACAGGCCTGAAGGAAGAGAAGTAGGTGAAAGGCTGGGAAAATCATTCTCTCTTTTTCCCACCACAGGCTGGGTACAATTATTAATGAATTCTCAGAGGGAGTAGCCAAAGCCAGGACAGGAGAGCATAAACTGATATCACACAGTATAACAAAACAATCCTGATCTCTCTCCCTGTTCTGAAAAAGAGCACTGCTGTGGACACATAATGCATATATGGGAGCATATACAGGGTTAGATACCACAACCATGTGGACAGACCGAGTAGCCTTGTAACCAGGAAGTTTTGTAGCTAATACACAAATGCATAGATGAAAGATGTTATCTCAACCCTATCATGCCTCATGTTGGGCACCAATCGAACATGGTGGTTTAACACCAGCTTGAAACTATACTCCAAATAAGGCACTCCCCTTCCCCCTACCCCCTTTGATAAGAGAGGGACAAAGGCAGAGACTATGGGTTGAGATAATTTACTGAAAGCAAACAGCAATGGAATAAGAAATCCACAGTGACAGCAGCAATATTAATAACAAAAGCATGTAAAAAAAAAAAGGTGCTTTACACACAAAAGGTGTTCATCACCTCAACTTAGTTCCATGTGGCCACTGGGACAAAGACAAGAAGGCAGATGCTACTCATAAGTCACAGGTATCAGCTGTGTCCATGTGGCCCCCTGGGACAAAGACAAGATGGCAGGCACTCCCTGCGCTTGGCTCTCCCCATCCCTGAGCTTGAGACAATGGAAAATAATTATGGGAAAAACCCCTAAAAGCTAAATAATCCACACTGCAACATGCTGCCGCTTCAGACTGCTACACTGAGCTTGGCTCCACTCTTTTTCATCACTGCTTTGGACTGCTCCGCTGGGCTCCATTACATGGGGCTGTTGCTGCTTTTCAGTTACGTCCCAGAGCCACATTTGCTGCTTTTCAGAACCACATTCTGGAGCTGCGTCTCAGAGGAGTAGGAAGGGAATGGGCAGCAGCTGTGGCAGAGGATGATCCCAGCAACTCCCTCCAATGAAGAGGGAGACACGGTGCTGTTTCCAGGGGTGTGCTCACCTTTTCTTCTCCCCAAAGTTACACTCCCCAGCAATGATGTAGGTGATGTAGAAGAGCAACCTAGCCATGCCCATATGGCTCTAAACTCCACTTCCTCTCTGTAACCAGGACAAATGCATACTTAAATGCAAAAAAAAAAAAAAAAAAAAAAAAAAAAATTAAGCAAAAACACAAGATAGAGAAAGCTATAACAAAAAAAACGAAGCTGGTTATTTATTTTTTCTAAAACCTCAACTTAAAACAATATGTTAAACACCCAGTACTCACTGTATTAGCAGATACACAAGTCATTTCACAAAATAAGTAAAAATTATTTACATGCATATTCATAACACATGCTCTTTACAATTGCCCTTTGGGAAATATTTCCCATTTGCTTTTGATAAGGGGTTCTACTCAGTCTAACCAATAACAGGTAATTGGAATAAATACAACTGAATTTGGCAACAACTACAACAGTATATCCTAGGAAGACTAACATGATTATATGGGTTCAAAAAACTAGCAGTTGACTTCAGAATGTCAACATTTATGAAATATGATTTTTCTCAAAATACAAAATTAAGCTATATAAAATAATTAGAATAATGGAGAAAGTGACAAGGATTCCTGAGAGATTAGACATGTTAGATAGTTTCAAAAAATATACCAATTACTGCACATACTCCTGGAGAAGCATGGGTTAAAACATAAATATATTCACGTAGTCTTGAAGAACACAGAAAATTACAGGATAGTTTTTGCTTGTAAAAGTTGAAAATAAGCTTACCTGAACCAAAGGTCTTGAAAGAACCTGATTTCCAAAACACTGTTTTTTCACATATCAACATGTAACATGTTTATTCTAGGAGAGTCCAGACTTCACATATATGTGTTTTGGAAGAGGAAGGAAAAGGAAAAAGAAAACCAAAACTCCCCACAAAAATAACCCTTCACAAACCACTTATCATGATTTCACAATTGTGATCTACAGAAAAAAAAAAAAACAGAAAAGTCATTGATCATGTGCTCTTTAGTCAGAAAAAAAATACCAGATCTTGTATATGGTAAAAAGAATATGTCCTAGTGTATACTAAGCCAAGCAAGCAATTAAATTGAAATTGATTTATTTTTTCCTCTTCCCCCCCCCCCCCCAAAGGTAATCCTATGGGACAGCTCCCCATTACATTTTAATTTCCATTATGATACTTTTTAAATCAATTTTATTGCAGCCAAACATTTTTCATATACCTGTCCATAAAATAAATTGTGATATATACACAACACTAAGTTACAGAGCATAAGTTTACAACTTTTGGAAGATTCTGTTTAACAAAATGGAAATTGAGTAACTTGAGTACTTGGAGAAAGTGAACTTCCTTATTTTGGTACCAGTGTTTTTTGCCTCCCTGTACTCTAACCAGACCTAAACTGGTTTAATAAACTAATGTTATTGTGTAACATCTCACTGTTTTCTCTTATGTTCTGATTCTAGACAGGATTTTTCATATGCTTCTTCAATTTCTGGATCCATCTTGTTATCAAGATCATTAAAATACCTAAAAAAACAAAACCAAAACCCCTCACCAAAACTGTTAAGTTTATGTACAGATTTTCAGAAACAGTAAATAGGTGAAATATTTACATAAACGTCAAGGATAAAACAGAGCTTATGGACCCTAGGAAAAAGCAGCATAGATATGTACAAATTACTACAGTGTTTGTCACCATTTTAGATCATCTTAGGCTGTCCACAGGTTAAAAGACAGAAATATTTCCAAGATGACAGAAAAATGCAATAATGTAATACAAGCTTTCAAAGATGTAATAACATATTTGCACATATGCATTTACAAAAAATATTGTTAGCATATTAGCAAAATTTTAGTTGGTTAACATCTCAGTTCAAATACTGTGTCAACTCTCTTGGTTGCACACTAGTCAGAAAAATATATTTATATAGAAAACCTGTATTCCTCTTTGTTGATATATGAAAGAAGGTGACCTTACTTCACTTCCTTTTTGTATCTGCATTATATTACCTTCTATTACATGTTAACCAGTCTTTTGGAAAAGATCTGGCTTATTTAGGTCACAGAAAAGACTGTATCCCATCAATGATAATCAGTATTGTGCAGAGTGGAGACTAACAGAGTTTCAAAAAAATCAAGATGGGAAGTGATAGGGATCACTTAACAGCTTTTTTTTTTCCTCACAGTTATTGAGAAGTAACTTGAGTGTTCCCTGTTTTCTCTAGGTCCAACTGGAGTTTTCATCACCATAAACTAGGACAACAGAGTTGTAGCTTGAACATGATAGTGTATATAATTCTAAAAAGCCTTAAAATAAATCAGCAGCTATTGACTCTCATAAAGGGTGCATTAGTTTCAGGTGCACAGTTTATTACCTTCTGTGCTTTAGTCCCAAACAAGGGAATCAGCATGTGCATTAAAGCAGATAACATATTTATTTTGTTTGTTCTTCCTTTCCTGTAGAAGTGTAGACTTGAGAAGAAACTCAAGAACCCTTCTCCCTGATGTCAGTCATGAGAAATAGCTGATAGCGGATCAGGATAGATTTGTCTAAGCATTTCTTAAGCCTTCATAGAAGGTTCCACAGTCACCTTGCATGAAGATTGACTCACAGTCTTTCACATGTCACTTTTCAGATTTGCTGTGTTTAACTGCTGTCTGTATTCATTTTGCATTTAAGTTGTTCTAAACACAACAGTTCACAAGGGTAGTTTTTTCCACAGTATGATCTTGTTGATTTCTGATGACATCACTAATTTATCTTCCCAAGTTCCTGTAACTCCCCTCAGCTAGTTGCCATCTAAAAGTTTTCTAATTTACTAACAAAAACAATGATCCAGACCAGCACTCTTATCACAGAAACACAACACTGAAAATGCTTTTGAGTATCAAATAATTATATAAGTCCTCCTTCAACCAGTACAGAGTTCAGAGCAATTTATTTTACTGTCTTTCTTTCACAGATTTCCTGTCAAATTCTTATAAATTGGTGTCAGAAGGTGAGACTATATTTCCCACCTACTGCTTCCCCTTTGGCCATTCATTGAGGGAATGTTACTTATCCTGAAGAGAAAACCTTAACAACCTTCTCCCTTTGAAAAACACTGAAAATTTTGTAATTATCTCTAGCTAGAATGAATTCAGGTTGTCTCACTACCAACACCTGAAGGTATGATGCATCATTTTGCTTGCAAATTTTTTTCTAAAATGCAGAAGAGAGTATGTTTGCACATGGGCAAAAATATATGAAGTTTAATTGCCCTACTCAGTTGGATAAATATAAAATGTTTCAAACTTGTGTGATTACAAACCAACTTACATCTGAACAAACACATAATTTCCATTGTAAAACTAAATAATAATTATTAATTTCATTTTTTACAAGATTGGATTCCTAAATTTCCAGTAAAAAAAAAACCCAAAACCACCCCACAACAACTATCACTCAAAAAGAAAACATACTGATCTCCAGGTCCTGATAAAGCCTCACCATTTTCCTCATAATCTGGAAACAAATCCTCTCTTTCATGCAGTTCTTGGTATTTTTCTTGGTAATCTGCCATAGTAAAAATTAGACCCAGTAATATATTAGTCCTCTAAATTAATGTACATCTATACAGTTTGAAAATAGCCTATTTAATGAAACCATAAATGGCATGAAACATTATCGAAAAAACTCCCACTACAGTGTTTTCTCAGGACATCAAACTCCAAGAATGATACCTACCTTCCAAAAGAAACAGAGGTAGTCACAGTTGTCTTTACCTCAAATGATGTTGTGCCATGTTGTGTTCAGATTATAGGAAACAAAGAAACAAATCCTTTTGCTACTAACAATGGACAAACAAAAGAGCTGTGGAAACCAAGTGCTGAGGACTATGGCATAAATTCTTCTGAACTGTATGAACTCAACTGCACATTTTCCATTTCAAACATTTACCTTCTTTTAACACGGAATAAGGCATGTGTTACACAAAGCCAGGAGTTCAGCTATAATTTTTTCTGTTAAGTTGTATGAGTTTCAAATATTTTAAGAACAACTTTTTATGTGCTTCAACAGGACATAATTGCAACTTTAAAGACTGAGAAAACAGGGAACATACCCGGATCTGCTGCAGTGAAAGGAATGCCATCAGAAGTGTAAAATGTTGGTTCATTCTAAGAATAAAGTTATACAGTAAGTTATATGAGTTCAGAGACAGATGTTTGTAGCTTTTAGCAATATGATTTATCTATGAATCAAATTAATTTTAAACTAAGGAACCGAAATACCAGTATGTTGGGGAAGATAAAATAGAAAAGCCTTATAAATATGATTGCCTGGCAAAAGATTTAGAAAATACAGAGATTGAGATGGTAACAAGTTTTGAGATACCAAACCTTAGTTACTGAACAACTAGAAAACAATAGGACAGCCAGGATGAAGCCAATCCCCCCCTTCTGGTTGAACAATGCCCTTACCTACAGATAGGTCCAAAGGTCAAATGGACTGTTCTATCTCACCCCCAATATATGGTTCATCCCACATCTGTAACCCTACCCTGAAGCATCAGGTGTCTGTGACCCCATTGGCCTAAGTCTTGTTCCAGCCCACCTTGAAGCCCCCTGATAAGGAGTCCCTGAGGAGCCAGACGCTTTCTTGGAACTTCCGCCCTCTTGGAGCTCCCCCTCTCCTGGAACATCCTCTTGGGATCCTCTTTTATCTCCCTCTACCCCTTGCCTCTCCCTTCCCCCACTCCCTAGGGCCTGCCACGTGTCACATCTGGTGACTCCAATCAGGGCCTTTCACCCTCTCTAATAAACCATATATTCTAAGAGCAGCCTTCAGAGATCTCTCGTCTCCATCCATCCAAACCGTCCTGGAGTCAAGCATCCTCGCACCAGTACATTCTTACCATAAAGTATTTAAGGTCATTTCCAGGAGTAGCTTTTGTATGTGGAGAAGTTTCATGAACTCTACCTCAGTTACTTGATCGTAGTTCCACTACTTTCAGAAGCATATGTTTCACATCTCTGAAAAAACAAAAGCAGCACAAAAGTCAGAATGATTTGTGCAAAACAATAATTGGGCTAATGGTTGGCAAATGGGGGAGGGGAAGGACTTAAACCAGACAAACAGAAAAAAAAACCAGAAAACAAACATACACAACCATCTCATTAAGTGGAACATTAATCTCCAGTAAAAGATAAAAAACAGAACAAAACCAAAACTGAAAGAACCACTCCCCCAACAATTGCTACATTAAAGTGAGCAACATATCACCTTACTTTTTGTAAATTAAAATTTTTAAGGAAATATTTTGGACATGGTCATTATTCTTGAAGATTTTTAATATGTTCTGTTTAATATAAAAGCAAAACACTGCAGAAAATTTATCTTCTCACCTGCTACATTTTGCATCCAACACAACATTTTCAATTCTCTGAATAATTTCCTCCATATCATTCTTTCCTTTTTCTTTCCAGGCATCTTCTATAACTGACCCTGTCAACTAAAGACAAGGTATTAGGTTTTTTGGGGGAATTTTTTGCCTAGTATTTTTTTTCTCTTTTAAAGTTAATTATAAAAGTTTAAGAAACTGTCAACAGAAGAGTTTCTTTAAAAATCCATAGCATTTAGATGCATTATGTGACTACCTATTGAAGGTTCCAATCTTCGACATCTTTTTGTTGAACTGATTAATGACCACATAAATATTTTATTTTAGACTACATACCGTATGGTAACTCTATGTCCAATGTTGCCTAGAATTTCACAGCCACTTCCCTCATTTCAGTCTTGAAATGTGATTTTGAAACAACCCTTCAGTGATTTAATTACAATGCAAAGCAGTCACATTACAACAAAATACATTTTTTAATATTGCAGTGATTTCTTGTAAAAAAGTGTTACATTTCATCATCTTTCTGAGATTGTATTTGATTATACTATTACTTGTGTCACATCGACACAAAAATATTACAACATTCTGAATCCTGCTGAAAGGACTAAGAGCATTTGTCAGATCTTAATTGCTTTAAATACATGCGATGAAAAAAAGAGACCATATTTTTGCAGATGATTCCACAATCTTACCTGATAAAACAATAGGCTAGTTAGCTTTAGAAAGACTTCAGTCAACATACCTAGACTCAGATATGCCACAGAATTTCACCTGGGTATGTGTAAAGAGGAGCCAAGAATTATCTGACCAAGCCAACTTGAGTTTTAATACATAAAATCTGTAAGACTGAAGCTGTTGCTGAGAGAGTGTTAGCAGCAGACAGTCTAGAACTGCTATGGATGAAAACTTTTTCTGTTAAAAACAGGTACTTAATTCATTGTCCAATAATTGTACAGGATTGTAGGAGATAAGAGTTAAACTACAAAAAATTAATTTTCCCACTATGGTCAAACTTAACAGCAGTTCCTAATCTACTCAGCATAAATACTACATGATCTAAAAATGCTTAGAAAGGTGTCTGATGATACAAAGGAATAAAACGCAAAGATAAAAGCAAGCACTTGTTTCACATTCCCAGTTTTCTGCTGCGGTGCTGCATTGATCCTAGGCAATTAGATAACAACTCTTAAGACAGTTTAATTAAAAATAAATATACCGCAAAGCAAATAGGTGAAAAGCCTGTGTCTACCACTATATTAAATGGAAAGGACAACAGGAGACATCTATTGCTTCAGTGGTGAATCCAATGTTTGATGAGGTAGCCCAGTCTAGCTACAGATACACTTCAACATTTGTAGATACTTGGAGCTTCCCTCTTCATTCAGGACTATGATCATATATTAAAAAAAAAAATTAAAAAACAACTTTTTTTCTTCTTTTAAAACTACTGTCTCACCTTCAGCAGTTTCACTGCACACATCAAATTATTATCCACAGGGTTAGAGAAGAGCATAGTTAGTAATTCCCGAAGGCCTTCTTGAAGAATTTCTGCTCGTGTGACCTGTCCCTTTGTTCCTTTAATCTGCAAAATATATTTTAAAAAACCAAAACCCAACTACATTTAAAATACTTAAGTTTTAGAAATTAATTTAGTCACATTTTCTCTCTCGGATGCTGTATGATTTGGTTTGTGATTAACATAGTTGAGCTCTTCAGTTGAAAGAACATGTCAAATACCGTAACTATTTCTAGAATTTAAAGTAGTATCCTTGCAATTCTGACATATACATAACATGCTTGCCTAGCATTTTTTCTTTGCTAATAAATTGCTAAGAAAAGCTGCAAAATGCCTGGCAAGGGATCCACATCATCCCAAATTCTCAGAATCCCATGCTCTTTTCCCATCCTACCTTATGCATTCTCTGCATCTGTAGAGTACCTTACTTCTAGAAGGCATTCTTTATATATTTAGAAATTAGAAAAAAATGCTTTTAAAATAAATGGTACTCCAAACTGGGCAACTTCCCCTTCCCCAAATCATTTGGAAAGCTTCCTTTTTACTTCTAGTAAGTGAAAATTAGATTTCAAGGCCCACTTATGAATAAAAATGGAAGTGTCATGGTTTTCTTTCCTCGTGCCAGGAGAACATTTTAGTAGTGTTTTCTTAAATCAAACCTTTGAAATAATTCAGTGAAAACTATATTTTAAGGACACTACAGTAGTCAGTGAACTCACTGAACTCACGGGTACAAGAGTCAAAGAACTTTTATGTGTACATACATTTATTTGTACATATCAAAACCAAAAAATCTGATCTAAATACAAAATTTCATGCTTCATGCATAAGCCAAGGACTCAACCTTCAGAAGAAATATCTTTCAAGGTCTGCATTTTTATTGTTCATTTTGAAGATTCCCATGCCTTCCTCAAGCATTTGATAATAGCTCCTATTAGTGGCTGAATACTGAATTACATGGGTTATTGATACCTATCTGCTTCTGCTAGGTTGTAACATTTTCTATGTTATTTAAGTCTAGTAATCTGGAGAGTTTACCAGACAAAAACAAATACCAGAAGGTTCATTCCAAAGGTGGTTGATGGCTGGTTCTTTTTAGGTATTCTTGCATCGTCTTTTTAATCTTTATATATTTCTCTTCTGATGATCTTGTCCTTTTCATTTATCTGTTTCTTGGACACACATTATAATTAAACTGTTCTTAAATTCTTTTACTTTATTCCCTTTTCCCTTTAAAAAAACAAACTCAAAAAACTCACACCGTAAATTATATTCCATTTTGGTGTTTTCTTAAACACAACAAAAATTAATGAATATGAATGACATACAACTTTTTTCTTACCTCTAGGTTAAGGTAAAGTTCAGCTAAGAACAGCACAAAGGAATGAAATTGTTTTCGAGCAGTCTCATCTCCTTTGGCAGCTTCATCTCTGTTTTCATACTCTGTTCGGCACCTGAAAACATTAAAGCAAAAATCTATAGACAACCCAACACATGCAACATGCTACTTATTTAATAGGATGCTAAGAACTTATTCACTGCATTAGAACTATTAAATGCTGAATAGTAGGAAGCTTGATTTGTGAAGGAAGTGAGAGGACTTCACAAAGAATGCAGATTTTTGTTCTTCTAGGTGAGCACTGAGGTATCTGAGAAAGCAAAATGAAATAGGGCAAATTGCAACATGTAAAAATTAAAGGACAGTTAAACAGTTTATATATTAGAATATGGGTCCAGGAAGTTGAACATGGGCAGACAAACATCAACAGAAATAAAATAGGTGTACTCTGAAAGATGTTTTCCCCCCTTCAAGGTGATGCCCACATTGTTTTAGATGCCTTTACATTTATTTGATAAATTCTTTATCCTACCATTTTAAGTAACAGAAGAAAAATTTAGATATAAATGCAAACCGTGAGGATTAAGGTAACATCAGAGTGAGGTAATTTTTTAGTACTCAACAACTGTGTTCTTTTAAGTTTATCATGCATTTACTCCTAAACATAGGTGGACTAAGTGAAACTTTTAAAGTAAGAATCAAGTCTGGAGCTCAGGAAGACAAAAGTCCTTAAAGAAAAAGACTAATTTCTAAAGAATTCTGAATTATTAAAGTCTACTATTCCTTTAAGTGTCATATAGTAAGATTTAAAAAGAAATACATCCATTTAAAAAATGTTGCATTTTTGTCAACTGTGAAGTCTAATAATTATTAAACCTTAATCCCCCAAATTCTGTAGTAAGTGAAAATTGAAGAAATTTATCCTTCATGATTTTATGCATCATAGGTGTAAAGTCAGTGAGCAAACCAACAAACTTTTCACAGCAACTCCAGCCAGAAAAGTAATTACAGAAAAAACACAATGAAATAAGCCATGGCACAAGTCAAAGGACAAAGACAGTACATATACATACATTTAGTATACATTTAAAGTTGACTACCTTTTGAATTTACCCTATAACTTGGTATCAGTACAATATACTCAAAGGAGCCTACAGAACTTGGAGTCCTATTTTCATATTAAAAATATATGTGTTAGATATCTAATATGTACCTCTTCTTTAATAATTCTCAATCTAAATTCCTATTTTAAATATGCACACTATGTTGAGTTACATACAGAAAAGGAAGACAACTTGAGAAAGCAACAGGCTTAAAATGACACACTGATACTGACCTTTGAAGTAACAACTGCCGAAAGCTCACACTTTGTGTACTAATGGTTAGATGATGAGATAGATAGTTACATAATCGTGCTCCTGTCGAGAGTTTAGCTAAAGAATAGCTGCGCAGCAAGGGACACGAAAAAGTTAAGTTGATAAGAGTGTGAGAATACGTGACTTGTAGCATGAAAACTATGCCCTTGAGAAACAGATGTCTCCTAACAACCTTGAGAGACAGACATCTCCTAACAACCTTGAGCATACAGGTGTCTCGTTAAAAATGAAATATTGCTTAGTATGCAGAAAAGTAATCAAGTATAAAGAAACAGTAACTGCAAGGCTTATCGCAAAGAGATATATGTGTTAATAGAAAGGTAACCAATCCTGAGCTTCACTTTTACAATATGTATGAACTAATTAGTGCTTGTATAAAGAAACTGTAATCGACTCCAATAAACTGAAAACTTGTTGACCATGATACCATGAGACTCGTTTTCCCGCGACAATCTCACCAACATGCTCCCATGTAGGAAAAATTTGGGACAGATGTGGCCTTCCAAAATAAAAGTGGAAAAATAAATTATTCATAGCAGTCATTATTAGGTTATCAGGAAATATCTTTAAGAGATTTTTGAAAATCTGTCTTTAACAACAGTTGACTAGACAATTGCAGAGCAGAATATTAATGATTGCTATTTCTCATGTTAATTTTTCTCTCATAAACACTTTGCTATATGCATTTCAGCACTTTGAAGTTCACTATATTGATTTTGTGGCTTTAAGAAAATAACCAGCATTGTGCCATTTGTTCTCAATTCTACTTCTCCATTGTGACCTACACGAAAGAGTATCTGAAAGTCACTTTCAAACTGTTAATAAAAAAAACACAACCAAAAACCAAAACAAACCCAAGAATAGACAACAAGACTTTTTTAAAGGACCAAACAGTGTGTTAAAATAAATATATCACCTTAATTCAGTCTAAGAGCTATTTATCCCAGATTTTTATTTTTGGCAATAACGAACACTCAGGGAAAGAGTACAAGAACATGGTAAGTAAAGATAAATACTTTCTCCTGTACATGTTCCAGCAAACTGCAGAATAGTAAATTTCTGATTCAGATATTAAAACTGTATCATTACAGTTAATAGTTCTTGATAAGTCCTTTTTTGGAAAACAAGTTGTGTTACTTTGAATATTTATACTTTTATAATCTAAAACCAGGTGGTGGCAACGAAATTCCACAACATAAGTTATACACTGTCTGAAAAATATTTTGCTTTTAAACTGATACTTGAAAATTCCAAGAGGTGGTAAAAGTAATTTGGAATCCATTAGTGTTTACATTCAACCTCTCTTAGAACTTAAAGTAGAACATTCCCTTATTTTGGCAATTTATTACTGCTCATTTGTTTTGAGCTCTCTTCTAACAAGACTTGAATTTGATATCATTTCTCAGATATGGCTTCAGTGAAAAGAGGCTCTGGTCTAAGTAATTTGATGAGTTCTGCCAAAAAAAAAAACCAAACATGGATACTAAGTATTCACTAAATGTTTCCTTTGGCTTTATAATCTTCGAACATTCCTTTTAGATCTATCAGTGCTATAAATGTATTTGCATGCTTCTGCTTCTAACATGTTTGAAAAAGCATCTTGCCATTATCATGTCAATGTATTATAGCTACTTACCTTCTACAGCAGAGGAAAATATGCACTAAGCATAACTGTACTATGTGCATTACACTGCTGGAAAGAACTGACATATCTTTGAAAGATACAACAAATTTAAGTAATTAAGAAAGTCAAATCAACTTTAGCTTCCAGTAAGAGGCATATGAAATAGCTAACGAGCTTTTTGGTGCTTTACGTCAATCAGTTGCTTGGACTTGAAGAGGTGGCCCCCTTTTTATAAGGCAAAATATGTCACTTAAATTACACTTCTCTTTCCTAAGGGAAAAAAAAACAAAACAAAACAAAACAAAACAAAAAACAACCCAAAACCAACCTCAACCAAAAAAAAAAAAGCCACAAACAAACAAAAACCCCCAAAACCACAATAAAAAACACAAAACAAATCAATAAAATCCCACCAAAACAAACCACCACACAGTCAAAACCGAAAACTACTTCAAACATCATCTGTCTTTTTATAAACCATTAGCTTCCCAATCAGTTGGTCTGTATTTGTGGTTGCATCAAATACTGAAACAATGCCATTTGGGGTATTCTGACCTGGCTTAGCACACAGAGACAAAACAAAAAAATAAATCTCATATCTTACTAACCACTCATTATAGTACAATAATGTCTTTCCTGAATTATTGTTGCTTTGTAATCCCAGTTTATCTCCAACTCCAAAAAAAGTCAAATTCTAAGCATGAAGGCTAGCCTACCAATACATATCTTGAGAAATTTTACTTGCTGTAACAGCAACAGTACACCATACTAACTGTACAATAGTCAAGACTTCTTAAGCTATTAAGTCAGAGTGTTCAACTTTTGGAAAACAACCTAACTGGTGCTTCACTCTGTCAAGACATAAATGGATTAAGTCTTACAGACAGGCTAAGATACCTGATGCCCAGATGAAGGGAAGATTGTACAGGATTTTGGTTTCTTTTATTTTAGCCTTTTTTCCTTCACAAACAATCTGTAGATCTGCTCAAACATCACTGATGCAGATGCTTATGAACACACTTCAGCATATTTAAATGAAGTTTTGAGATAAACCAGGACAAGTAAAAACAAATACTTGAGCAGAGGCTCATGACAGAAGAATAAGCATAGTTGACTCACACTCAAACATTGTCATATCCTGACATACAATGAAGCTGAAATTGTGTGCTTTTGGATACTAGGACAGCATTTTGCACTGAGCTAAGTTTTATTTTTCAGAAAAACTGTTATCTTTCAGACTGATAACACTCAATACTTCTCAGTTAAGGAAGTCACATCTAACCCTAACTTGTTTTAAATAGGGGGAGAGAAAAAGAGGCAACATTAAAATACTTATCTTAAACAAGAGTCAATTTATTAAACATCTATGAAGTTTCTTCAAATAAAGTTATATGGAAAATTTTAATATTTTATTAACTTTTCTCCATGTGTCCAAATAAAGGATGAAAAAATTATGCTGCCAAACACAGCACAAATAATCTTAATGTATAACTAAACTGTTCTTAATTAAATGTGTATCAATTCTGTATTATAGTAAGAAACTTAAGACTCTACAGTTCTTAAGACTCTACACAATACATCATAATCACGTAGGTTCTACATACCCCAGATTATTTCACAGTAAAAATTCTGCAAGTATCTGCACTTAAAAGGTGCATAAAGTTTACATTCTTCAATGTAGAATTTGCAAGCAACTCACGATAATGGGAGATACCTAATGTAATAAATAGCAAGCAGAAGTGTGACTTCATTTGCTGCAGTAAGCCCAGAAGATGGTAGCATCAGCTCATTTGCTAAACAACACAGATTAAGCTGGTTTTTACAATAGCTCCCCCAATTAGTACAGAATTCAGCTCAAGGTCTCTGTCCTCGTTTCCATGACCATCAATGGGACTAGACTGAGGTACCAGCAGACTAGCTTTCCTTTTTTCTAATTATGATGTTCTGAAATAGTTATAATGCCAAATGAAGAACAAAGCCTGTCAGTAAAAAAAGAGCATTTCCCAAAGTAGGTATCATTTTTTTAAAATACAAAAGAACAAAAAATATCTATTATGAAGAAGATTTTTGTAGGATAGAATAAAAATGTACAACTGACAGTCCCTGCTATGTAAATCCAGCAATTCAAATATAACTTCTTTAATGAACTGCTGTAATTTCAACTCTAGTATGTGATCTGAGAGATTCAAATACACAACAAAGGAATCAGAGTAAATTAGGGAAATTTATAAATCAGCCAAATATATCTCACTTGAGCTATCATTACAGTTTATTGAGAAAAATCTTTCCCTATATATTTCAGTCTAAAAAGAAAAATTCAAACCACTAAAATACTATGTAGGCACAATGATATAACAAATAATACTAGCATGCATATCTTGCACACTAGGTAACAGAGGCATAACATCCATGTTAAGACAGAATACACAGGCTACCTGTTGATATATGAGTTCAACAAGTTCTTGCAAAGTTTCATCCACAGTGACCCAGACATTCACTGTTTCAGCAAAGTGCTCTATTTCAGTTTCAAAACAACCTGCTTGCTCGGCGAGATGATTTAGAAAGTCTTGTACATATTCTGCCAAAGCCAGATAGCCATCATATTCATCTTCAAAGGAAGAATCCTATAGCAGTAAAAAAAAATACCAGCTATTTAAAATAAACCTTAAATAGTCACACTTACTATCTCCAGAAGTAACCAGAGCCCTTAGTCTTGAGTAACTTCTGATGCTCTGCATACTTGATAGTGATCTTTATTACACATTTCACTTAAACACTTTTAGCAAATATAGACCTCTGCACCAAAAAGCTCTAGTAGTCAAGAATTCGGTAACATGTTTTTATATAGATAAAGGTCTCCCAGCAAAACACATAAAAAGACAGATTAAAAAGAAATTAGTTTGCCAAGTTGACTGTAAGATTAACTAACAAACTAACACATAAGTATACCTGCTGAGAATAAAATTACCAAACTGAGGCTCAACACCCTTTCCTGATGCACACACAAACTTTTCTACAGATATATGAACTGTAGAAGAAAAAATAATTGAAAATTGGACACAAAATATTTTGAACTTACCTAGAGTACAAAAGTGCTCCAAAATATTCAGGAGGGGGAGAAATTACAGAAATACAATACAGTGTAATGTTCCCATGTATAAAACACAGGCAGGAAATAATGCATACTTTATTAATGTTTATGCTCCTGATGATGAAACAGAAAGCCACCCTACTGGGTTTGTGTGGCCAGGTTTTGGTAGCGGGGGGAACTGCAGAGGTAGCTTCTGTGAGAAGCTGCTGGAAGCTTCCCCCATGTCTGGCGGAGCCAACGCCAACCGGCTCCAAGATGGACTTGCCACTGGCCAAGCCTGAGTCAATCAGAGATGGCAGTAATGCCTCAGGGATAACGTAGTTGATAAAAAAAAAGTTATTGCGCAGATGCAATTGGGGCCAGAGGAGAGTGAAGTGAGAATATGTGAGAGGAACAACTCTGTAGACACCAAGGCCAGTGCAGAAGGAGGGGCAGGAGGTGCTCCAGGCACTGGAGCTGAGATTCCCCTGCAGCCCATGGTGAAAACCATGGTGAAGCAGCTGTGCCCCTTCAGCCCAGGGAGGGCCACAGGGATACAGAGATCCACCTGCAGCTTCTGAAAGAGCCCATGCTGGAGCAGGGGGATGCCTGAGAGGAGACTGTGACCCCATGAGATGCCTGTGCTGGAGCAGGGTCCTGGCAGGGACCTAGAGACCCGTGGAGAGAGGAGTCCACACCGGAGCAGGTTTCCTGGTAGGACTTGTGACCCTGTGGGGGAGCCATGCTGGAGCAGGCTGTGCCTGAAGGACTGACCCTGTGTAAGAGTGACCCACGGTGGAGCAGTCTGGGGAGAGCTGTTGCCTATGGGTGGACTCACACTGGAGAAGTTCATGGAGAACTGTCTCCCATGGGAGGGACTCCATGCTGGAGCAAGGGAAAGACTGACTCCTCTCCCAGAGCAGTGGCAGGAACAATGGGCAATGAACTGACCATAACCCCCATTCCGGTCTCCCTGTGCCGATGGGGGTGGAGAAAGTAGAGCTGGGAAAGGGAGGGAAGGTGTTTTTAAGGTCTTATTTTACTTCTCATTATCCTGCTCTAATTTTGTTAGTAATAAATTAAATTATTATCTCTAATTCAAGCCTGTTTTGCACATGGACAGTATTTGGTGAGTGATCTCCTGGTGTAATTTCTATGGTTTTCCCCGCCTCCACGCAGCCCCCTCTAGGATCTGACCAGCTCAGAGATATGGGGCTGTGAGGGGAGGAAATACCAGGAGAGGGAAAAGTATTCAAAAGAGGCCCTTACCCCAGGGAAGTTGGAACAGCTCTCTTTATTCTGTGGTGTCCATGGAGAGCGGGGCAAAAGAGAAAGAGCAGGAAGTTTCAGGGGTCTATATAGGTTTTGGACAGGGTGGGCTCTCCTGGCTCCCTGCCAACCCCGTTGGGGCAGGAAGGAGGATCCAGGGGTTATCATGATCAGAGCCACAGAGGCCCTAGGAAAGGGGGGACAAAAGGGTGTCCAGGAGCTCACCGTAACACCTCCCCCTTATTTGTTAAACAAGGTTGCAGGAATTCACTGGGCTCAATTCAACCCTGAGTATGGGTTTCCCACCACCCCATGTTGGTGGCGTAGTCAGGCCTCCTCAGGTTAGCCAACTCTATGTGGTTGACCTCTGAGGTAGAAGGTATGAGGCCCTTGATAGCTTTGAAAATCAAGTGACGCAGGATCCCGAACGCTAGGGTTACAAAGAACAGAATAACAAAGACTAACAAAATTGATCTAACAACAGATGTCCACCACCCCGTGAATCCCCATCCCTTGAACATTCTCTTCAGCATTTGCAGGATGACAACTTGCATGGGGTTCATCACAGGATTGAGTGGAAGGTAGGTTTTCTCTAAAAGGGAAAAACAAACATTTTAAGAACGTGTTAAAGTTTCTGTTTCTGCCGGAAGGAATTCATGCCTAGGAACTTTCTTCTTCTCCCATCCGGCGGCGTCTTCTCTTTGAAGCATCAGATACTTGCTTCTGGTCCCCTTCTGTTCGACCTGGATTCTTGGGGACAAAAGGTTTCACTCACTTCTGGGGAATCCACCAAGGGCCTGAGGGAGTAGCTACACACGCATAGCCACGACCCCAGGTTACAAGTCCATAGGGACCCTTGGTTTCCCAAGTTTCTGGATCCCTAATCAAGACCGGTGGATGCTGAGACAATTTGAACTGGTTGCCACTGTTAAAGTGATGCACAACCGGTGGACTCATATTTTCGAATGAACAATTCAGAAAATTGATAGTAAACATCGCTTTACAGAGCTTTTCTCGTGGAGACATCCACGGAGCTGAGCTGTTTTGTTTTTTCAATACCTGTTTGAGCGTCTGGTGTGCACGCTCGACTACAGCTTGACCTGTGGGGGAGTGGGCAATGCCAGTTTTATGTTCCACTCCCCACTGTTGGAGAAATTCCAGAAACTCCTTGGATACATACGCTGGGCCATTATCTGGTTTGATCGTTTTTGGCACCCCCAATACTGAAAATGCTTGCACTAGGTGTTGTTTGACATGTGCAGCCTTTTGTCCTATATGGGCAGAGGCATACACTGCACCTGAGAATGTGTCCACACTTACATGAACGCATTCAAGGTGACCAAAACTCTGAATGTGTGTGATGTCTGTCTGCCATACCTCACAGCTGCTAAGGCCTCTGGGGTTTACCCCCATGCCCAGCGATGGCACGGCCTGGAGCTGACAATTAGAACAGTTGGTCACAATGGCTCGGGCCTGACTCCGTGTTAGCTGGAACTGTCGAATCAAACCTGGCACATTCTGGTGGTAATGCTCGTGACTCAGCTTTGCCTGTTGGAAAACATCAGGGAGACTTGCCTTTTCAACTGGTGCAGCGAAGGAGTCTGCTTTTCGGTTCCCCTCTGCAATCTCACCTGGCAAATCAGTGTGTGACCTCACATGCATCACAAAGAATGGATGTTCTCGGTGAGAGATTAAATAAATTAGCCTTGAGAGTAACCTGAAGAGGTGTTCATTTTCTATTTCTCTGAGCACAGCCTGCTCTGCCCTGGACACTATACCCGCCACATAGGCAGAGTCTGTCACCAAGTTGATTGGCTCGGAAAACTTCTCAAAAGCTCTCACCACTGCAGCCAATTCAGCCACCTGGGGGGATCCCTCCACAAGCTCAACATCATCTTCCCAAAGCTGAGTCTGTGGATTTCTCCAAGTCATCACCGACTTGTGGGAAGCCCCAGAAGCATCCGTGAACACTGTGAGAGCCCTGAGTGCCCTCCAGCTCCTTTTCTCTTGAGGAATAAGGTGGAATTCCTCATTGAACAACTTGTGAGACGGGGCATGGACTGATATTTGTCCCCTATAGCTGTCCAGAGATAGCTGGAGACTGGCACTGCTCTGGAGCAAATGCTCAAACATCCCTTTGGTCAGTCTCTCAGGAGAGTTCCTTCCCTCCTCAGAAAGCCTGACTGGAAGGTGAATACATGCAAAGTCACACCCTGCTAATTTGCACAACCTCACCCTGGCCTTCTGAATCAGCTTTGCTATCAGCTCTTGTGGCCTAGTGATGGTTTTGGATCTTTGGAATGATAGGAAAACCCATTCTATGATTAAGAGTGGGTCCTTCTGCCCCTTGATCCATTGGGAAATCAACCCGTGCAGGTGCGGCAGCTTTCCTAGAACAATGAACTGGAAAGGCAGATTTGGGTCACACCGATGTGCCTGCCTTTCTGACAAGGCCTTCTGTACCTTTTCGATTGCTGTCTTTGCCTCTGGAGTCAGTTCCCTGGGGGAGGTCAGCTCCCTCTCCCCCTTCAATAAATTGAAAAGAGGTTCCAGATCTTCATTTGTGAGGCCTAGCCAGGGCCTTACCCAATTTAAAGACCCACACAGCGAGTAGAGGTCTGCTAATGTTCTGGGGTTGCAAAGAATCTCCAATTTCTGTGGGACAATAGTCCTTGCAGAAATTTCCAGGCCCAGGTATCTCCAAGGTGGCATTCTTTGAACCTTGTTTTCCTGCAGTTTGAATCCAGCAGAGGTTAAAACTTTAACCACTAGGTCAAGCGTGTATTGGAGTATAGAGTCATTGGGAGCACACACAAGCACGTCATCCATGTAGTGTAGTATGATGGCATCCTTTCTCTCTGCACGTACTGGAGACAGTAGTGCTGCTACATACTGTTGGCATATGAAAGGGCTGGATTTTAAACCTTGGGGCAAAACTTTCCAGTGGTAGCGTTTCATCGGGGCTTCTCTATTGACCGTGGGAACTGAGAATGCAAACCTCGGGGCATCTTCAGGGTGCAATGGAATTTGGAAGAAACAGTCCTTTATATCTAACACAGCCAATTTCCAGTCCTGGGGAAGCATAGCTGGACTCGGCATCCCTAGTTGGAGAGGCCCCATGTCCTCCACAATTTTGTTTATCTCTCTGAGATCGTGGAGCAATCTCCATTTGTCCTTCCCAGGCTTTTTTATTACAAAGACTGGGAAATTTCAAGGGCTGTCTGTCTCTTGCAGGTGTCCTTGAGCTACCTGCTCCTCCACAAGTTTTTCAAGCGCCTCGAATTTTTCTCTACTCAAAGGCCACTGTGCTACCCACTTTGGGGTGTTATCCAACCACTTTAACTTGTGGGCATGGCGCTCCACAGTGGCTACTTCCAAAAATCCTGGGGTGTCTTAGGAATGATTAATTGGACTCCCCACTGGGACATGGTATCTCTCCCCCACAGAGGAGCCTTATAGTCTGCCACGAATGGGCAAACACTTGCTGATTCCCCGTCAGGTCCTTCAATTTGCACTACATTTTTAGAAATTTTTGCCAGTGTAGTTCCTCCTATACCCTGAAGTTTGCCTGCCACAGGTTGCAATTCCCAGTGTGATGGCCACATAGTTTTGGGTATCACCGTGATGTCTGCACCTGTGTCCAGAACACCTTCCACCTGAAGGTGCTCTGACCCATGTGCTAGGTTGCATGCCATGGAGGGTTTATCCTCTCCTACTACTTCTGCCCAGTAGACTTCTGGTGATTTTCCTTCTACTGTGATTTTCACTGGGATGGGAATGGCTTGTGCCAGAATTTGCCCCTTTTCTAGATAGAATGGAGGGTGCAATCAACGTGCCAACAGCATAAGGCTGGATATTTTTCCCTTAGTAGTCATGGGAACTATTTCAATCTCTGGAGGTGTGTATGCTGTGTCCCCAATAACAAAATACTTACTGTCCAGTTCCATATCGTACACCTGCAGGTCTTGTGGGCTCTTTGATAGGTCCACTACAATGACTTTCCAATCAGTGGTTCTGAAATGAGATCCTTTGGCAGTCACTAGACGAGGTCGGCCTAGTGGCTGCCAAACCTTGTTAGTTATACATTTTACATTTTTATTTTTCTCTCCCCCCCCACCATGGTTCCCACCCTCCCCCTTATTTGTTAAGAGAGAGGCATTGTCACATTTGGGTCCCGCTACATTTATATCTTTGCGCGTAGTGGTGGGCACGCACTGTGCATTTAGTTTTTTTGTTTGTTGATCTGTCTCTGGTTCTGGTTTTGAGGACAGTTTCTGGCAAAGTGTCCTGGTTTCTTGCAACGCAGGCAGATGATTTGTTGCAGCTGTTGTGATGATCTGGGTGGCTTCCTTGGGCTTGATGCAGCGGGCTGTATTTCTGCAGATGCTCTATGACTGACAGGATTATCAAGCAGCTCTGCTCTCTTGGCGCATGCTTCGATCATCTGGGCCAGGCTAGGTGCTGGATCAAGAGGAAGACTGAGAAGAATCCTACGACAGGTCTCATTGGCATTCCTCTGAGCCATTTCTTTAATCAACTCTGTTTGCATACTGGTGTGTTGCACCTGTTTTTCAACTTGGCTTCTCAAACGATCCACAAACTGTAAAAAACTCTCAGAAGGAAACTGTTTGATGTTAATATAGCTGCATTTAACCTCAGTTCCTGGTAATTGATGCAGAGTCTTTTCTGCAGCA